ATTAAATTTTTAAAAATTTTTTTGACAGAATATGTACGCCTTACGACGTCATTTTGGCTGGACAAACTTGCAGTGCAATTTACAGTAGATAAAACTATTACCCACACGTTTTTAAAATTCTTATATTGGTTCTTATAGATTGAAAATTCTTTTTGATATATTTATAAAATATGAATATAGATGGTGTTTTATGTATTAATAAATATCAAGTGCCCCTCTTCCTAAGTAATATACAGACTAATCCGTTCGAGGTTGCTTAAAAATTATATTTTATGCAGTAATAATAGAAAAAAGTGAATTATACAAGAAGCATACATTTTATAAAAAGTTAAAATATATATAATAACGGCAAGTGTTTTATCAGATGTGTAAATCTTAAGGAGCAATTAATGTTAACAAGCTTATTACTAGCATTGCAGCTTAAAACAATACCAAAGCATCTAATTGGAATGTTTAATACGAAAGAAAATCTATTACATAAAAAAAGTAGAAACTATGTACAATGTACCTGAATATAACACATTCTCATAAAATTTAATTAAAAACAACAAAAACAAAATAAAGCACATAAAAATGTTATGGCTATACAGTTTTTGTCATAAAACTTGTAAAGTGTTAAGTACTGTATAATTGTATTTAAATGTTTTAATACCTATGTATGTTAATTTGTTACATATTATGACAAGTTATCATTAAAATTAAGAAAAAAAAAAACAAATATAAAGAATAGTAAAGTAAAATCGAAATTTAAAGTTTATTTATCATTTTTCCAACAAATAACGCTCGTTTACTGCAACAGTGATATAACTCCAAAAATACGTTTTCTAAGTTATTGATACAGAAATAAGCACTTAAAACATTTCTTCCGTTTCGCTTACAATGAATTATAAAATAATGTTATACCGAGAAAAATGTATTATGCCTCAAAATTTTGAAAATTCGGTTTTTTTAAATGTGCAAACTTTGAGTTGTAAAAAACGAGCGCTGTATACCTACCATAGGACGTAACATCAAAGGTAAGTGTAAAAACATTTTAAATTAAAGCTTTTAATCAACATTATTTTAATATAAAAGTGAAATTAACATGTATAAATTAGAGATCCTTATATGCCTCCATTATGTATTTGCATTTTTATTTATTTTATTACATATTATGTATTTTATCTTACATTACGAGTGTGTAGGTATTTGCAAGTTGTTTTATCCATAACTTAACATAGAATATGGATCATAAATTTATACAGTTCTTGTAATTATTAATAATAATTGTTACTGTTATATTTACTGATGAAACTGTTATATTTACAAATCTAAACTGTTATATTTACAAATCTATAAACTTTTATTAAATTAATTATTGGAAATTTTAGAATTATACAGAAAAACATTATGATTTTTTATAAAATTATGGTATAAGTTTTAAAAAAAATTTTAAAAATAAAATAGTACGAAGACCATTACAGTCAATACAATCTTTTGCATATTTTCTGTGGTAAATTCTTAACATACTTATTTAATAACAATATGTAATTTAAAGTACCTACATGCATAGTTTATGATAGTTACAATGTAAGAGTGGATTTTAATCAAGTTTTTATTGGTATTTGAAATATGTGAAAGTTATTATACGTTCTTACATATGTACGTATATACATGTGTACATCGTATGGTGCGAAAATTAAAAAGAAAATGAAAAGATATTCAGAAATGTTATTTTAAATGCACTAAGATTAATGAAAATGAAGTTTAAAATTAAATTAATTTTTATACACATTTAAATTTTATGTTTATAAAGCTATAAAAGTATATGAAACGGAAGACTTGACAGCCTACATTATTGCCTCTAAGTTAGTATATACAATATAATTTTTCATATAATAATTTTAATTTTTAAATTAAAAATTAAATTTTTTAATTTAAAACAATTTTCACTTTTTCAATTAAATTTTATTTTATTTTTTTTATTATTATTAAGCTTAACTTTCTGAAACCAATAAAATGTATACATGCGTTTAAATTTGATGAAATATTTTTTTTATTCATTGAATATTTTTTATCTTGCATAAACTTTCGTTTTTTATTTATTTTTTTTATGCTGCAATATATTAAATATAAACTATTTTTATATATCCACATATTTATGCACTAATAAAATTATTAAATTGCAATGAAATTAAAATTTTACAATAATAAATGATTGAATTACAAGCAATCATGGTCAACATCAATTGTAAATGATGTTAGATATATGTATATAACATGTAACACATTGTATGTGTATATGTACATAAGGATATAATATGGTATAACATTTTATTTAAAAATTATGTTGCAAATTATTTTAAAGCAAGTTTGTACGTATATTTAGGAAAAATATTCTTATGTATTCATAATGTTCATCTTTTGTTATAAAATGTTAAATTAAAATTTAAATGTTTAATAGTGATTTGAGAAAAAATCTTTCGGACAAAATTCAATTTTCACTAAACAATCGAGCAATAAAGTTAAATTTTTTTTTGAACAATTCGTACATATTTTAAATATGTTTGATACTTCCTTTTATAAGGAATTTTTAATTGAATTTGAAATATTTGGATTTGTCTACGCACAAGTTCGAGAACCGAGTTAATGAAAATGTGTATGTACGCGTATACACATGCAGGTATTTTTTTGATTTTAGTTGATTTTGATTATAGTTCCACAAAATTGGATTTTTTTTGGTACACTTATTTCAAGTTTATTGATTGTTACTAATATTACACCCCTCGTTAATATTATTTAAAGTTTCTTTTAGATATTTTCAGATATTTTTAGAGATCGTTATATATAGTAAATATTTAGGTACTGCTACCTGGCGTGTTTTAATGGTTATATTACAAAAATAATCATTGTTAATAAATTCCTGGCGAACCTGAGAATGCATAGGAAATAGACTGACAAACATCTCACCAAAAATAATTATGCTGCATTTCCCCGATCACATTTTCCTTTCTTGTGTGAATTTGACCAGTACAAATAATTGAAATCAACGTCAATATCTTACATTTATTTACTGTATAATTCCAAAAAAAAAACTGCATAATAAATTATTAAATTTTTGATGGATGCGTTACACCTTACATAATATGGGATAGTTATACAATTTATGTTATATACATTTGATCATAAAATGCCACTAAAAATTTTTTAACGCTACAATAAAACAATACGTAAGATTGTACACAAACCTTCATAATTTTTGAATGTATGATCAGTTTTAAGGTTATTTTGTGTCTATATTTACTATTTTGAGATAAAATTTAATTTCTTTGCAAGCCTTTAAAGAGCTTTCAATTTTTAAGGTGTTAAAATAAATATTTTTCAAGTATATTATGTAACTACATATAGTTGTATTAGAAAATGTTATAGAAATTATTTTGTTTAAAAGTTTTAAAGAAAAAACATTACTGATGACTTATATAATATTTGACACGCCAAATATGCTTGACAAACAAAAATAATTTTATTTGCATTTTACAATTTTTGTTTTTGTAATCATTTTGCGATATTTGATTATTTTTGGATTAAACAAAAAAATAGATTTCATGGGAGAAATTAAAAAATTTAACTTTTAATCGTATAAAATTTATCGTGTATAGGTATTTTAATATTTTCTTCATTACTTTAATTTTAAAGTTTGGTATTATTCTAAGCATTTAAAATCCCGATTAACTATTATAATATAATAAAATATTCACTAAATTATTTAAATTTTCTCTGTTTTTATTTAGAAACCTCCTATAATATACGTAATATATGAGTTTAAAATTTTAATTTAATTAAAATATTTTTTATTCGTATTCGATTAATTAATAATTTTGAGTGACATACCGATAATATCACTGTAGACAAAAATAATATGAAAAATATGTAAATAAATTATAAAAAATTTCTTGTGATAAAGACCTAGAAATTTTGTTTTAAACTTCATATTATGTAGTTTCATATAGTCTTACGTTTGTGTTTTCTTTTGCCTCTGTTTTGATACCCTGCCCACAATAATTGTATATTAAGACATGTTTACATATACTTATGTTAAAATATTCGCGCATATTGAAGTTTAAGAATTTGAAATATGCAAAAAAAAAAAAGATGAAAAAAATTGTGGGTAAAATATTTGAAAATAAAAATAAAAAGAATGAGTAAGATTTCTAGAGTCAACAAAATATTTAATTTATTCTACTATGTAACGAATATAATTTTCGCGGCAACTCTCAATCGACTGACAAAGTAAAATGGCAATTTGATTTGAATTGAATATTTAATTGAATATTAATATTAAAATAATTGGTGTAGACAAAAGTTTATTATTTTATTTATTATTTTTGTATAGGCAAAAAAAAAAAACTAGTGCAGTCTATTATCTATAATTAACTTTAAAAATATTATAATTAATGTGACTATGAAATTGGCAATTAAAATGCGTATAATGTTTCAATTATCATATGTTTTAACTAATTATATATATATGTATACCTATGCTTGTCTGTAGAAGTTTTAAAATATTTCAAGAAAATTTTTAAGTAACAAGCATAGCAAAATCAAGAAAGATAAAAACAACCTGCAGTTCAATATTTATTTTAATGCTTTAGAAATCTCTTTTCATTTTTACGATATATATGAATGTGTACGACATTAAGGTGCTATACTGAATTTTGTGATGATTTAAACTAAAACCGAATTTTTTGAATAATTACGGTTAAAGTAACTAAATTTCTTATAATTTTTTCACCAAATCAAAATGTAAATCCGTCCGTGAAGGAATAACAAACATTTTGGATGTAACATTTTTGCTTAAATATAGAATAATATCCAATTTGTATTCTAAAATTTTAATTTTTCCTTTTAGAGAGAGAGAGTACTCACATATGTATATAACAAAAGTTACGGTCATATAAAATTTAACTAAATTATTTAACTAAAAAAAAATTTAGTACATAATGTATAATAATTTTACTCACGGTGAATAAATTCTAAAATTAACATCAGGATGTGGGCAAGCACCAGCTCCTTTTATTACACAACGTAAAATATTAACATCCCATACACCGCTACGTATAAATTGTTGAAAATTTCTTCCGAAAACTGCTGAAACATCTGAAACTTTTCATTATTTGTTTTATTAATTATTTTTGCTCATTTTTTTATAGTGATTATAAATTTTTAAAATATATATTTAATATTTAGCACTTCAAATATTTTGAAAATAAATATTTTTTTTTGAAATAAAATTCAAAGGCAATTAAAAAATTTTTTTTTCTCAAAAATATTTTCAATTAATTTTTTTTTTTTTAATAAAAATATTTTTCTGATTTTTTTCTTTAAAAAATATAATTTAATTTTAATTTTTTTTTTTTTGCTAAATTAAATTTAAATATTAATTATTTTTATTATAAACTAGAAGAATATTGAAAATTTTTCACACCTTTTGCAATAAACACCATAAAAAATATAAAAAATAAATAACGACATTTCATTTTTCCGTTAATAAAAAAAAAAAATATCCAAAAAATTATTTTTACTTTTTATTTTATTTTTTTGTTTTTCTTATTATTGAACTTTACGATAAAAGTGCGTCCGGAATACTAAAACAAAAATTTTACAATTATTGAAAATTCGAGGGTACACTTAAAAACTTTTTCCTTTCTTCAAGTTTTGAACTTGATTTTTTTAAATTTTTTATTATTTCCTTCCAAAATCTTCATAAAAATAAAAAAATATTCACAGAAAGAAAAAGAAAAAATTAAAGAACCATTAATGAATGAATAAAAATGCAAAGGGATTGTGTGTGTGTGTTGCAAAAACAAGTGATTAAATTTTTTAGTTGAATTTTTTCTTTTCGGTTCTTTTTTGAATGGACGGACATAAAATTTGGAGCAAAAATTAAAATATTTTCCTTGTTTTTTTTTTTTTTTTTTTTGTTATATGAAATTTTTCACTGGCCCACTCTGACGTGATCACTTAAAAATTTTTTTATTTTGATATTATGTTGGGCACCTTTTATTTTTTTTTCACTACTTTTTTTTATCTTCCTTATTATTGTTTTCGTTTTTTATTTTCGTTTTTTGTTTATGTGTTATTGCACTGTTTAATTGCCGAAATATTTTTCCTTTCTCCTGTTTATATGTACATAAATGGTTGCATATAAAAATTTTATGCAAAAAAACAAAAAAATAATGAAAAAATTAAAAAAATTGAATTAAAATTTAAACAACAAGTAAAAGTTGATATTAAAATTAGCTGTTTTGGAAAACACTTGTATGCTTATGCAGAGGCCAAATGTAGCGAAATTTAATTTTGACAAAAAAGAAAAAGAAAAATAAAACAAAATATTACGGGAATTTAAACGCACTTTCCAAAATAAAAAAAAAATTTTTTTGCGTATTTTTGATTTACAAAAAATTAATTTTATATAAAAAAAAATATTCTTTAATAATTCATTTAAAATTATACAATTTTTAATTTCTTTTTTCCTTATTTTCAATGTTATTACATTATGTGAATATCAGAAAAACGTTAAATAAATTTGCAAGAACTACTTTAAAGCCGGACCTATAATAACGGTTTACAGTTTATACTTGTTATGTGTGTGTCTTTAACGAATGTAAATATTTGAATGAAACCAAGAAATCGTTAACTTTGTTAAATTGGCATAATTTTATTTTCAATTTATTTTTATTTCTTGCTTATGTATGTATATATCTTTTCCTTCTTCTTCTTCTTTATATTTTCATTTCATCGCCGCTCTTGTTTAAATTCAAGTCTTTTATATTATAATAGATTTTGGTATCAAACACGCGTTTAAATTTTTCTATTATATTTTATTAAATACTCGTTTCTTATTTTTCTATAATGTAGTTTGTATTGTATATTGAATATTATTTTTCTCGTTTTTCTTCAGTAGTTTTATTATTTCTTTATTTTAAATCAAAGTGTATTACTTTATATGTAATTATATTATGTATATAATATTTATATTATATATCTATACATAGCAAAATAAATTTAATATAAATTTTGCATTTAATATAAATATGATATAAAAATTAGTTAAATATAATATGCTTATAAATATTAAATATGAGGAGTGCAACCTTTCAAATCAAGAGCAACAAAATTCATAATATGCAGGCATGTAGAATATATGAGTGTGTATGAGAGCAATACATTATATTATTATTTAGTATCAAAATATAAAAATTATGTAAATATAGGAAATGTTTATGATATTTTACTTGTACAACATACAGTATATTATGTACATATATACATTTGTATTATTTTACTACTTGTACGTTACACTCGGTTGATTTTTTTTTTACTAAAGTGTAAAATATTATATTAACTTGTTATACATTATGATTGATTAAATGTACATTATTTACTTTCTTTTCAATTAATTTTGATATATGTACATAGATAGATAGATGATAAATAAAAGTTACTTCCGAAAATATTTTCTTTTTCCCAAAGGGGTTTAAGGAGTCTATAGCATATAGTTAACTTCAAAGTCACATAAGTAATATACGTTATTGATGTGCCATTCCGGTTATAGTATTATCGGAATTTTAAATTCTAAGTCTGTTTCAATACTTAAACTTGTTCTTATGTTACATTTGCAACTTTAACAATGCCGTATATCAAAAATTCAGCAGTAATATTTGAAATGTCATTTGACATGCTCAAATAAATAAATTTGTTTATTGCAATTTTGAATTCAAGGTCATTTAACTTTTAAGAATATTTTAGTATATGGTTTACGCTACGATAAGGTACTCGTATTTTTGTAACAGTAACGATACAAGTGATACAGATATTAATATGATTGATATGAGAGTACTATTGATTATAATATGTTGATTTCTTATTATGAAATCTGACCTAAAACAGCATTTATGAGAGAATACCAACATACTGACAAGATATTGTAGAGTGTAGATAATTTATTATTATTTTATTTTCACCATTAATAATAAAATTAATAAAAATTAATAAATATGAAAAAAATTTAATATACATAATTAAAATGACATTTATTTTAAATAAATTATAATAGAATGATTATAGGTATGTCATAAGAAAATTCAGAATTAAAAGATAACATTTGACAACTATGAGATCACATGATAGATAATATCATTAAATGTACTTATAACAAAAATTTTTGTCCCAAATCTTTACATATTTATATGCAAATATTAATTTTGTTTTTATATTATACAACCATACTAGTTTTAAATATTCACATTATTTCTGATAAATGTAACATAGGCTGCTATGTACAACGTATACAACGCATAAATGTTTATAATATTAACATTTGTGGTTATAACAAGATTTGTTCTGATTTATGAGATTACTATACGATAACATTAACACAATGAATTAAATAAATAATATTGTAAAATCCTGTTACCTGTATACTTGAAAATGTTCTAATTTTATTGGAAAACCTGGTAAAAAAGCAAGATTTTAATGAAAAAAAAAAATTACGCAATGATATACGGTATATGCAAAATATATAGTATTAAAAATTGGGTTGACTCTTAAAATACGAGTATAACGTCAATCAAATAATCTTCACATATCATGCATACATACGTGGTATCTATACATGACATAAATATTGTTCTACGTGCTATCACGTACCATAGGGTATTAAAATTTTTATTTAATTTTAATTAGTTAATAATATTTTAATTGTATACTATATGTTTGAGAAAGTTTTTTAAGAGAAAAATGTGAATTGGTCATTTTAAAAATTTTCACAATTTATAAAAAATCTTCTTTTTATATGAATTGTTTTTTGGCATAAATTTTGTACATTTCATGCCTTCGTTTTCTACACGCATATAATTTATTCATATCTTAATTAAAATTTTAGCTTTGATATCCTCATTTCATTCTTTTAATATATATGTCTTGTAATTAAAGGAGTAAAAGAGGTTCTAATAAATAGTTTTACATATTTGAACATTAATTTAATAAATTCAGAATATACTTGGTAAGGTAACATGTTGAACTTAACCTCCTTGTTCGATTAGGATTAAAAGACTAAACTTCTGGTACGATAAGATTCTTGGACATTCAAAAATGTTTACAAAAACATTAAGTAACGAGACATGTAATTATCAGATTAAATTAAAAAGAAATTGAAAAAAAAATTAAATATAAATTTTGCATATACTTTACAAAAATCACATTTTTCCGTAAATTCTGCAATGTAATTTATTATTATTATAGTGGAATGTTATTTTTTTACCCATTTCTTGACATTTTGTACTTTTATAATTAAGAAATAAAAATATAATTTTATTTGGTTTGTAAAAAATATAAAATCTTGTTATTATGGAAATGCAAAATTTTCATAAAATAATAAAGTTGTTTAATGCTACAAAAAGTATACCAGTGTAAAAAATTTAAACATGTTATGCAGTACATTTTTAATTATATTAATTTTAATTGCATGTAAAATAACACAAAACTTACATAATGCAATAATTAAAAGCTTCAAAATTTACTATTTAATTTTATAATTAAATAATTAAAAATGAGAAATTTAATGTTTCGTTTTAATATTATTTTTAAAATACAAATATTAAAAGAGAATATAAAAAATTATAGCGTTATCTACTTAATTATGACAAAGAGTTCCGGACTTGTTGCCCTTTAAAGAAAGTTGCATTCAATACATTGAATATTTTATTATAATAAAAATCATTATTAAATTTAAAAAACATATGTATATGTACATGAAAAGTTTTTATAGTGATTATTTCGTAAGAATAGAAAAAATAAAATTTAATTATCTTAATTAATAGAAATTATGACATTTAACTATTTTGAGTTTATTTTTGTTATACCATTTTTATATTTATGTAACTCTACTGATATTTTTATGAATTGTTTAATATTACTATTATTATTATCATATTTTAGTTATAAAATTTGATTCGCACACTAACAGCCCATATATGTTTTACTCCAGACCTATTAAATGAATTATATAGTGGCGAGTCTATATATGAATAAAACAATGTAATATTAAACTATGTTGCATTTTAATCACTTATAATTCTATATTTTACAATTTCTCTATAAAAATAAATAATTTCTAGTCAGCATTAAATTCTAGTTTCTGATTTTTTATATACACTTTATTGCTATATTAATTGATTTTAATAGCAATAAAGTGTATATCAAAAATTATTGAAATTTGAAAAATTCTGTACGTTATGTTGTAAACTTGAAGGTTTCAGACAAAAATATTTTTGTTCTTTTAAAAAGTCCTCACTATGATATTAACACATTAATCAGATTTGGGTATATGAATAAAATTTCGAATAGGGATATTCTTCAATTTAAATAAAGAATAAACTATACGAGACCGCTTTTAATTAAATTAAGAACAATTACACTGAATTTAGGAAGTTTATTTGCTTCCAATCATATAAAATTATGAACGTAAATCAAAATTTTCAATAAAAAATTTTCTTTCTTAAACGTATACACATCAACATACAAAAAATAATAATGAAAGAGTTTAAAAATCAATAATTTCTACAAAATGTGTTATAATTAAAAAAAATTCAATTATGTACATAAAATTTAAAATTTTTTTAAATATTTAAGTGCAATTTTTAATAACTATTATTAAAATAGTTCAAATATTACAATGAATTGCATGGAGCAAGCACTTATTGTAAGATATTTAACTAGAACAAAATTGTTTACAAAAAAATCTTGTAATAATTTTAAATCCACACTACATATACATACGTACACATTATTGTAGACAATCTATTCATGAAAACTTAAGATAGAAATTTTAAATTTGATTCAGATTGATTGTTATACAAGTGGAAATGCTCCAGGACAATTGAAAATTAAAATTTTGTATTTATTTAAGTATACATGCAAGTATTTTTGCTGTATATGAATATAAAAATGTAAGTAATACTTGTATGTTATAAAAAATATAAGTATACGTTTACTTGTATGTTATTTCATTCCTTGTTTTTTAAAACACAGTCGAGTTGTATTTAATATTACCTTTATAACAAAATCATAACAATTTTAAATTTACTTCTGTGTTCTGTAATAATTTGCAACTTTTGTCTAAGTAAATCATGATATAGATAATACTCAATTTATCTATAAAATGAGTTTTTATTTTGAACATTTTAATGTTTGAGGTCAAATGATTAAGTAAATATTGCTTGTTTATATTATTTTTATACTTATATTTATTTTGTTTTCAATATTATATCCGTAACAATACAATTTATTTTTTTTTCATTGAAGAAGGAAAGCATGAATTATACTAACATGCCATTGCCTGGCAACCCATTTTGACTTATGTGTTTTACCACCAAAACCTCCTCCTTATATTCTGATACTAGTCCCCTTAGACCAACCATCAAATTTTCGTTAATATAGATTGAAAGAGATTCAACGCTCCCCGTTTTGGTAAAGCGCATTTTGCGTTAAATCCGAAGGCAAAGTCCTCTTTAGCCTTCTGGGAGAATACCGGATAGCAAGGAGCCGAGAGCTCTGTATGTCTCTATATGTCTCACATTGACATCCAAAGGCTTTTATAAGAAATAATTGTGAATGAAAGTAAAAAAAAAAATTTTAAACTGCAACAAAATTTTAATTTGCAATAATCCAAAAAAAAAAAAATTAATATTTTCCAGGAGTTCACTTTTAACTTTAAAATTTTCATTTAGCTTTATTGTTTAAAGAAAAAATAAATCTCACTTTTGAATTATCAAATGGTGTTTTTAGTGTTACCTACTTTTAAACTGTTAACTACTAACTTAAATATAAATTTGTACATATATATGTAAGTACATGTTATATGCAACTGGTATATAACCTGATAAATTTATACCTACATGTACGTATTCGTATAGTAAGCATATTTGTTTTAATGTAAAATGTATATTACGTATACATATATATATGTGTACACAAAGTCTAAATGCAATTTATTTTTTTGCTTTATTTTAATTTCATTCATGTTATTGCTTTCAAAAAATCCAGTATTTTTAATAAATAAGGAAAAGATATTATGTTGAAATTACAATTTGAAAATCAAGTTCAATAACAAGGTATAAAATTTTCAATTTAAAAGGGTGGGCCATATACCAATTTTCTTCTTCATTACATACACAAATTGTATAAAAACCTCATGCCAAAGACTTCATTTCTAACGGAGCCTCAGTTTGTTATGTTGGTCATTAATTTTTTGATTTACAAGTAGTACTTGAACCTCAGCACAAAATTGCATTCCAGAAGGCAACAATTTTGGTGCGCGGCTATTTTTCTGGTGAAGTTTTCTATTTGAAAAAAAAAGAGAATCACTAAAATTATGTCGTGGAGTAATCTGTAAAAGAAGGTCCAATTAATATGCGTCTATCTACTTTAAGTTAAAAAAAAAGCGTAAATTGCCCACCCCCATGAATTTGTTGAAAGCGATGTTTTCATCTTCACCCAAGCCAAGTCTGGTGGATTCACTTTATTTCTTTTTTCCAAACATTTATTTTTGTAATGAGCTGTATATACATATCTATAATATTTTATGATGCACATAACTACCATATATAATATAATTTACAAAGTTTACATTTTTCTTAATAGCTATGAAATCGTAGTTGAAAATTCAAAAGATTCAACACGATAAGATGGCATTCCATGTTGCAGAGTTGATTGGAATTTTTCTGAAAAAAGAAAGAAAAAAAACGACATTTTTCATGTGACATCTTTTTTTCCTTTGGTTTTTTTGAATCACGAGAAAGGAATATACATTCACTTTTTTTTTTAATTTTTGTTATTTTATATTTTGCTTATAAAACTCCTTCAGCCTTTCTTGAATTTCTTTTATTAACCCTGTCGAATCAAATGTACGTATGTAGCTGATTACTATTAAAAACGATAACAATGTTCAATGGCTGGTATATAATAAAAAGGGTAATTAGTCAAATAAGGTTTTAAGAAGAGAAAAGGTTATATAATTAACTAAAAAGGAAAAATTCTTTAAATTTTAAAAATAGCACTTAAAATTATCAATATGAGTTATAAAAAACCAATTAAACGACCAGAAATAATTAACTGCTGCAATATTTTGACTGCCAAACAATTAAATACCATTAAATATTCTAAGAACAGTTACTAAAAAATTTAATTTTACTGAAAAGGGTCGTGTAAAGTTCGGTAATAAATTAAATTCATTTTAACTTTTACTGATGTTTTCATTCTTTAAAATGTTCCTATGAATAATTATTTTAAATTACATTTAAAAGACTGCCAAAACAGGATCTCTATGAAAGATTTGTCTTGAAAATATTGTTTTTAGATATCTAATATCATTTCGTATTAGAGGATTTGGCATAATACATAATATACAAAACTGAATTAGTGTAAGTAAAAAAAATTCGTTGACCCTAAATGATTAAAAAATAAAATTTTTGAAGTTATTATTTTTTTTTGTTGTTAATACATTTATGAATGTAACACTTATTATAAATAATAATTAATGCATGTCTAATTTTGAAATTTAAATTAAATAAGAAATATTTTTTAAATTTGTATATGTCCATTTTTTAATAATGTCCAATGAAACGGTTAAATAGTAAAGAAGAATTTTTGTATTAAATATAAAATTGCAATGCTATGGTATCTATGAATTTCCTATTAGGTATTTGGAATTTACTTACATGTAAGGAATAAAGTTTGGTATATAGATGTTCTTTATAAAATTTCCTTTATAAGTAAAGTCGTTTTTAAAAACCGGAATAAAATTTAAAAAACTAAATATTATGTATGAATATATCGGTATCCAAGATCAGGGAAATTCGCTTTTCAATAAAAAAACAAAACAGGTCTTCAATATAATTTTCTATTTTAGTAAGTTTAAACCTTGAATAAGTGTTATAAAACAATATATGTATATGTATATTTCTTATGTATAAGCTTCCAATTTATTTTTCTAAAAAGAAAAATACCTTGGTGTTAAAGTTTTCTTTTATTATTATATTTAATTTTAAGTTTTAATGCAACCTTTGAAATATTAGCGTTAAGAAAATTTTTGATTTCTTTTAAAACTTTTTTGTTTCTTGAACAATTTTTTATTTACAGTACAGTTAAAGCATATCTAGTGAGAAAAGCATAAATCCGAAATCAAGAATTTGCACATTTTTGAATGCTAATAATAATTAGTAATCAGGGATAATTATTACTAATTATTATATATTCTTGTATTCTTTTATATTTTTAAGATTTTATAGATTTTTTGGTATAACGATGTGGCTTTTTATTTAAAATTCCTTTGAAACTGTACTTTTCAGTTAAGAAATGCAAAATTAGTAAATATAAATTGTTGGATAGTGAGTATAAATCGTAAAAAATTTGAATGATGGCTTACCAAACTTTTTCAATTTTATGCTATTGTTAACTCTTTATTAAATTTTCTTTTAGAACGCATTCTTTGCCCCAAATATTGTGGTAATTATTTTCAAAAACATATTTTGTTTTTTAATTTTGCAAATATTATATTTTTGGATTTATTTATAAAACTTATATTTGTAACTAAGTATGTGTATAAAACACACATATGATTAATTTTTTTTATAAATGTATAATGGTATATTAATAATTCACGATAAATTGAAAAATAATTGTTAAATACACTGCATAAGAAAAATTGTACTTGTTAAAATGTAAAAAAAAAAAATTATCCGTACAACACTCTTAAAAATAGGTTTTCTTTGCGAATCAATCCATTTACAACGTTTTCACATGCATGTTTTTTTACTTTAAAAATTCTATTTGACTATGATCTTAATTTTTAGTAGAAAAAATTTGATTATATTTATCCAGTTTGTTTTTCTCCTCCTTCTTCTTGGTCTGTTTCGTTTTCTGCTTTATTACTTTCATTTCCGTCTGTGACTGTTTGTATATGATAAATATTCATTTCTTCTTCTGAAATTGGAACTGGAGCCTTTGACAATAAATCTTTGCCATTCAAAGATTTTGGGAAAGCTATAACATCCCTTATACTTTTGGTGTTACACATAATACTTAACAAGCGATCAATTCCCAAAGCAATACCACCATGCGGTGGACAACCAGATTCTAATGCACTCAAAAGATGATTAAGATGGGTATGCTCAATATTTAAAATTGTTTCTAATACTAATTTTTGAATATCCTTATTATGAATTCGGATTGAACCACCACCGATTTCTTGACCATTTAAAACAAGATCATATGCCTGAGATTTTATTAAGTGATATTCTTCTGGTTTATAGAGTTTGTCTACATCGTCTTCTGTAGGAGCTGTAAATGGATGGTGAACACATTCCCAGTTTTGCGTCTCATCATTAAAACTGACTAAAGGAAAATCTGTTACCCAAAGAAATTTAAAATCTTTATTTGTTCTTTTTGGAACAATCTTATTTTCTTCAAGTATGTTCATATACTCTAAACGAATTTCACCCAACATAGTTTGCTACGGAAAAAACTTGTTAGTTTGCCACATTTAAAAATTTACATTAAATATTTCTTACTGTTTCCACTTGTGGGCCATATGCCAGTAAAATTACATCATTGTTCCCTAATCTTAATTTATTGAATAATTCTCCACAAATTTCGTTAGAAAGTAGTTTGGATAGACTTTGTATCCAATTTTGTTTGTCTCTTACCTTCGAAATTATGAATTTTACATTCTCATATTCCTTAGTTATGGATTCCAATCTTTTCTTAACAGAAGCTGATAAAAACGATTTATCAGCGGTGCATGGTATTGCATAGGCTCTGAAATTAATTATATCTTTTGACAAATTTTTATTTTTTGTGAGTAAATCCGTAACATCTTGCATCTAAAATAAAAAAAATATAAAATTATAAAAGAAATACTAAATTGATTACTACAATTATCAATTTGAATATATTTTACCGTCATTTCGAATCGCGTATCTGGTTTATCGCAGCCATATTTAGACATGGCTTCGTCGTAGGAAATTCTTGCAAATGGAATGGAAATCTTAGAAAATTCATGTGGCCAGCTATAATATAAAATTTCTTCGATTAATGTTAAAATATCGTCTCGTTTTGTGAATGACAATTCTATATCAAGTTGAGTAAATTCAGGTTGCCGGTCGGGCCTTGTAGCTTCATCACGATAACATCTTGCTATTTGAAAATACCTGTCGATAGCGCCAGCCATTAGCATTTGTTTGAACTGTTGTGGACTCTGTACCAGAGAATAAAAATGACCAGGCTTTCGCGTTGGAACAACAAATTCTTGAGCTCCTCCTGGGGTTCTTCGGAATAATGTAGGTGTTTCAACTTCAACAAACCCTAAGAAGTTTATTAAATATTCTCTCATTTTCATGATAACATTCGATCTAAGTCTGAGGTTTTGTTGCATGTCGGAAAACCTTAAATATTTGATAAATATATATAAAAAAATATTAAATTAATATTCAAAAATTGTAAACCTCAAATCAATATATCGATGCTGCAATCTTAAATTTTCTCTAGCTCTGTTGAAATTTCGTACTTCAATGGGGAGATTCTTTATAGCTTCATTTATTATATCAACAGATTCCGCAATTACCTCAATGTCTCCAGTTTTCATTGATGGATTTCTCATATTAGTTGGCCTCGGAACAACCTTACCAACTACTTTTATTATTGATTCAAATGGGACTTCTTCAGGAATTGAGGCGCTTTCATTTAGCATTATTTGAGTTTGACCATATCCATCTCTTAAAACTAGAAACTTGTTCATTCTTTGAAACTCCAGCCATCCACATAATGTGACTACTTCATTTACATTATGCGATCTAAGCTCACCGCAATTATGAGTTCTGGTTGTAAATTTGTTTGTATTGGCCACTTTATCCTTACTCGGTTTATTTGAATCATCATCGTCTTTAGAGTCCTCGTTTGAAGTTTCGCAAACATCATCAATCGACATTTTAGTGATTTTTTTTTTTATTGGTCCGATATACGGTTCTTCAGGATCTACAACTTTTACTGAAATAACATGAACTTCTATGTGACCTGTTGGATAAACCTAAACTTATTAACATTAGTTTTAAAAAATACTCTTCTAAATATTGAAATACTTTCAGCTTTTTTTAATTTTTAACTTACGACGTTAACATTTCCCTTAGGTCGAGCCAAGACTTTTCCTTTAACTTGAATCACTGTATTGGTAGGTAAACTATCAATTATTGATTTAATCTGTGAATGAAACACTTTTGTAAACAATAATACTAAAAATTCTAAAGATTTTCTACATCTTCATTTTCCAAAACAATTTGTGTTTGTCCATAACCATCCTTTAACTGCTGAAATTTACTGCTTTTTCCTTTTTGAATCCATCCCACAAGCTGCACTTCTTGACTAACATGTTTCAAGTTTAAATCATTGCAAGTTAAATCTCTGTTTTCAAAATATTTAAGCATGTTATCAGTTTCTGAAATAAGTAAACATTTGCGTTAAAATACTAAAAGGAGAAATAGTATACATAGTTCTTACTGCAAATTTTATATTCTGTGCTGGTAACTCCAGTCATTTCACCTTCTTCCATTACACTATGGGACCTCTTTTTTGCTCCTCTTTGACTTCGTGATAAATCTACTAATACAATCTCTTCAACACCAACTTCCACTTCTCCAGTACGTGACGTTTCATTAATACTTTTGCTGGGCCGAAGATAAACTGTTCCACGAATTGTCAAATGGGCATCCATTGGCAAGTTTGCAAATCTTTTTGCTATTCTTGGGTACTAAAAAAATTTTTTTTTATTTTTATAAACTGCTAAAAACTACATCATGAATTAAAATAGCTTGAACATAATAAAGCTACAAACTTTTTGTTCTTCTATTACTAGTTGACAATGTCCCGTATTATCCTTCAAATCACAAAATCTTCCAACCCGACGTCTAGAAAATTTACCAGAAAGTTCCACATACTCATTCTTGTGGTTAGCTCTAAGCTCGCCGCATCCAAATTTTAAAGGTGCAGCCGGTGTTCCTTCCAAATAACTTCCAAAAGAATTATATCTTTGGCCATCATAATTGCCTAATTTTTTTATTACAAAGATATGTTTGAAATGTTTTTCATATTAAAATATTAATTACCAAAATTATTTCCAAAGTACTCCGATTTATTCCAATTCCAATTATTGTTAAACATGTTGATGTACTTTAGATTAAAACGCCGTGCACTTTTTAATTGTAAATAATTTAATGGTTGACTGAATTTCTTGAATTTCACAAACACAGAAGCAAAATTTTCTATGATTTTCTTGTTGCTGATTTTACTAAGATAAATAAACATATTATTATTTATGAAACTTAAAAAAAACAATATAAAGATAATTTTTTTTCCTGAAATAAACCAACCTCAACTTGAGCATAAAAAACCAGTGACAGCCAAAATATTAATTGTCAATTTCCTTTTGGTAGCCCCTCTGCTGGTGTTTTTGTAAAACTACCTATATATAAATATATAAATGCCGATTTCACTTTAAAATCATAATTTTTAATTTGGACACGAACCATCTTTCTTGGCGTTTCGTTTAGTTGCATTGCAAGTTTTCTGCACGAAATTTTAGACGTGAGATAAATCGGAGTTACATCTTTGGTTACGCATGCATATTAATGTACATAATAGATTTTCATAAACGCAATATTATAACACATTAAACGCGAAAAGTAATATTCCAAAAACATAACGTAATGGATATGCAAATGCAATATATTTTCAACTATTCTATAAAATGAACAGTTCATATAATTTAACTGTGCTACTCATGCTAATTTCGATATACATACATATTTTTGAATAAAAGGCCTAAAGGATTTCCGATATTTGAGATTACATAAAGTTTTAATTTAAACCTCAAAAACAATTTTTTGAATCATTACAGATTTATGGGGCATAAAAAGAATGTAAAGATATAACATTTTAAAATACTTTGTGAACATTTCATTACCGCCTAATTTAACCGCCTTGGCACGATCTTTAGACATTTATCTAAATAATAATATTTTATTACGCATTTACCCTTTTCTCAATATTTACAGAAAACGCTGTATAATTCGCCTATTCTGCTACAAAAATCAAAATTGGATTAAATTCTGTGTTTCTGTTTATAATACTTACTTATCTTCATAGTTAAAAACATCTTTTAACTATGTGGGTTTCAATATTCCATTAATTATAACAATTGTTATACTGGTTTATTGGTACTTAAATTTAATTGAAGTTTTTTGTATCAATTTTTGTTCTTACTTAAACAAATTTTTAACAAACTATATACATACATATACAAAATATATTAACAACTTATCATATAAATTTGGTCATTTTAATCTTGCGGCTAAATGCAAAAAATATTTCAAGCTAATATAAAATTTTTTGTTTTGAATACAAGCTAAACTTAAATTTCATACAGTTTAATTTAACTTTCTGTAGAAGTTGTATTATCAGCAGATAATACTCCACTAAAGTGTGTTACAACGTAATCATGATAATACATCATAATACAAAGTGGTTGTCCTAAAATTATAGAAGCCCAGACTACAATATTACCCCATCTTGGTCCAAAATTTTTTTGCATAAATTTAGAAATAGCTGATAATGGTATTTGACCCATCATACCCATAAAAGCCCAAATTTTGAAAGTATTTAATGGCACGCTAACCTAAAAGGAATGTTACTGTATAATTTCAAGTAAATGAATTTTTGCTAAAAGAACTCACTAAATATTCGTGGAAGAAAGCACTAATAAAGAACACAATAATGGAAGCTTGTCGGCTTGAATACCCCATTTCTACAACTGGAATATATAGATGTCGAACGCACCATCTTGGAAAAAATGAAATATGTTAGAGTATAAATACCATTCCAAAAAAACTTGCAATTTTTACCTATGAACTGGCATATTCCATGTTCTCCAAAACGTGTCAATGTTATTTGCATTCCACCAGTCATTATAAAAGTTTCTATCAGCAAAATGCAACAATTCTCCACATAAATTCAAGAACGAATGAAACATTAAATAAAAGAAACAGAGCCATACTAAATGATTTGGAATCTAAAAAATTCGAAGAAAAAACTTAAATTTATTTCACAGTTTTGATAAAACATAATAATTTCAATATTTTAAGCAAAATCAAATTACTTACCGCCAGTTTGAGTAAACGCTCGGTAGCCTTCATAACATCCATATTTGAAAAAGGAACTAATGAATTTTTGACGGACGGAATCATCCATTGTTGAAATAAGGCCATTACAACGTTAACTCCAATTACAACTTCAAGCAGTCTTTTAATTAAAAATCTCTTACGTACTCTGCGTAATAATTATAAATAAATAAATTTCAAAAAATTTAACCGTGGCATTTACAACTGTGGCATTTACCTAGTAGTTCTAGGAAAATTAAGTTCATAGCACAATGTTGGTGCACATAGAAAATAGAATAAATCCTTAAAATTTAAATTATCTGGATAATGAACCAATTCTGTTATATTTGAATTATCTTCCTCATGATGATTGTGGGATTCCGTATTATGAGCGTTCTCTAAAAAAAGAAATAAATTTTTGTTTTGTTATATAAAGTTGAATTAAAAATACGTAAGTATGAAATATTAAAAAAATAAAATTTACGTAATTCTGCAATCGAAACACTTGGTCTACGTTTTTTTGTTGAACATCTTTCATCTCTTAAAGCTTGTCTGCTCCACATGTTAACTTGAACATAACTCCACATTTTCATAAATAAAATTGAGTACAGAAAGCAAACTGTGGTTGCACCAACTAAAATTAAAATTTTAATATATTTTATAATTAGAATTGAAAAAATTGCATTGTTTATATTTATAAATACCTAAACTAAATGAATATTCCCTGACATGTATTACAACCATTGGTATTAAAACTAAAACAATAATGTTAACGACTTGTGCGAACATACCAGCACTCTCTCCAATAATTTCCTATAGTAAAATATTTAATAATTTTAATAGTTTTCAAAAAATTAATAGGTTTCACATGAACAAATATTCATACCAACGAAAGTCCTTTTTCGAGTAACAAGCATATTGTTATTGGTACTAAAGAATCTGTGTAATTATTAAAAATAATTGAAAAAGATATTAAGGAAAATTTTAAAAATATACTTACATACTACCAAAATTAAAGATGGATGACCTTCTCCTTCATTTTTCCCACTTAATACAATATACCATTGTATTGGATCTATTCTTACACCATATCTAAAAAAAATATGTAAAATGTAATTGGAATCATTTGAATATTGAAGTGAAAAATTGAATATGTAAGTACTTGAGTAAATTTTCCAAGCACAATCGAAAACCACCCATTGTTAGCAATAGAAAACCCCAATTGACTAAACCGGTCCAATTATCAAATCCTGAACTCCATGAGAATAAAGAATCTCTAGGTTTATGGCAACTAAAATTATAAACGATTTTTATATTAAAATTATTTTAGATTATAAAATATAGTAACCTACGGTTTATCTGGCTGTGATTTTCTTTGCTTTTGTTCCTTAGTAGTAATTTCTTCAGCTCTTGTCACACTTTGAGTCCGTCTAAATCGTAATTTACTTTCTTCTTGATCGGTCGCCATTTTTCATAAACTAAATTTGAAATATAAATGAAATATGTATATGTTAAATAATTTTTTTAATTCTTTTGTGTATAAAATAAAATAAAAATATTTGAAAACATTTATTTAAATGTCATTAATAAATGATAAGTTTTAAGACTTATGAATTAAAATTAGAATATGCTTATCATACAACTTTTAAAACTAAAAAGTTAGTGTTTGAGAATCCTGGACGATTAATACGTATTCACCGTAATATTCATTAGAGTGTTGTATGTTGCGCTCACATGTTATTTTTTTTGAAACACAACTTTATTTTCAAAAAATTTTCTAATATGTTTAACAATTCAATCTTTTCTTTTAAAAATCGGATGTTTTTGCAACTTAGTAGTTTCACTAATAAGGTCTTATTAATTTTTTATATAAATTCGTATATAGATTTTAAATATGAGGCATCAATTACGACGGCAAAAGGATAATAAAAAATTGTTTAACATTAATAAAATTATGAGTACGTATAATTCAATGACCACATGCTCATTTTATGCTTTAACCTGTTTATTTTGTTTATCAGAAATGTAGAATTGATTACATATATTTAGTAAAGTATTAAAAGTCTGATATTTAAAGTGAGTTGACCCTGAAAACAGAGTGTGTTGTTTGAAAAGCTTAAGATATTATTAAAATAATCTAATCTGCAGAAATATTTTCTATCGCTTTAAAAATGATGATGTGTAAATACTCTTATAAGTAACAATCTATCGATACCTGTATATAATGTAACTATTAATAATATTAATTGTAAATATAAGTTCTTAAGTAGTTATATTTCAAAAACCTATACCCTCACATTGAAATTAAATGCTTTTAGAGTATAAAACTAAATTATTAGTATTTGAATTTTTGAAATGGTCGAAAATTTGTATAAGGGCAACGGCTTTAAACACATTTTCGACTATTTGACTTTAAATGGCTCACACTTTTTTAGATAGCCAAAAATTTAGTAATAATAACGCTAAAATTTGCCAGACGAAATTTTCAATTTTTGTGGCAGAGTTCTTGCACAAATTTTATATGTTTATGGCTTTGTATGTATTTAAATTTGAGTTTTTTATTTGTTGCATAATTTGAATTATTTTGTAGTATTGGATTATAATTTATATTTTAGATAATAAATTAACACTAATAATTAACTAAATAAACTTTAGCATATCGATAATATAAAGATAATAAATAAATAATTTTTTATTTATTTTTGTAGTGTGGTATACCACGATCGTATTAACATAGTATTTTTTTACTATACTACTTGTATATGGTAAAAAAAAACAACTCAATTGGTGAGATTAAATAAGTATTCAAATACATATATCAAAATATATAACATTTAATTATGTGAGTCATTATTGTAGCACCTTGACAATAAATAAAAGTAATTAATGTGTGTATAAAGAAAAATTGCAAAATATTTTCCATAAAATGATAAACATGCTCGTTACAATTTAATTTCACATGTGAAATCACATTTTAATAATGTCAATGAGAGTTTTCAGAAAAAGTTTTTAAATTGTAAAATTTATAGCAAACTTATTGTAATAAATACATATAAACAACATAGAGTGAGTAAAACATATAGTGACCAACACTATTCTAAATAAAAGGGAGAACATAAGCAATGTTTAAAATAATATTCACAAATTATTGTAAAATAAAAACGTTCATTTGTTAAGCCGAATTTTAAAAGATTTCAAACGCATCAGTTATTCTTTAAAAAGGGTTTAAAAAAACTAGGATCTTAGACAGACTACTTATAAATACTTTTTAAAGAGCGCATCAATTCGATAAATTTATTAATGTAGACATATGTATATAAAGTTAAAAAGAGATTTATGTTGTTAATTTAAAAACAAACGTTATTGATGTCACTGTTGCATATTATACGGCTTAAAAGAATAACTGCCAATATTTTTACTGATAGTTGAACAGCTACATATTTCTAGAAATTAGAAGTCCCATTATGAAAAAAAGCCCTCATTATAAATAGAAATGGTTGGTTACTTTAATTTTAGAGAGTTTTCAAAAGCGAAATTAAACAAAAAGATACTACAACAAATTATGAAGTAGGTGTGCAAAAAGTTTATTTATTTAAACTATAAATAAAAAATTGAACAAAAAAGATTAAAATTTCGTAATCCAATATGTAAATTAATAACAAATACTTTCATCGCATTGAGAACGAAATTTAATTTTGCAAAAGTGAATTTTCAAAACCATTGAACATAATCTAAGCAAGCCTCATTAAGTACGTACATGGTGTTTGCAAACAATCATATTATTTTTGATATCCAGAAAATTATTTCAAAATTTTTAACAATTATTATTTAGATATTATGTAATATTAAATCTCATTACTTTACATAGTGTGCTCACGCAGAATGTTTACTATATAAAGCAATACAAAAATTAAAAAATTTTTTTATTACAAAATCGTGGAATTAATACTCAAAATATTATGAAAATCGATACTAGAAAAAAATTGAAATTTACAAAGTGCCAAAAAATTTCTTTAAAAACATAGGTAATTAAGAAATATAAATTAATAAATACACATAATTTGTAGCTTAAACACAAACAAGGGCTTAAATAATAAAAATTGACTATATATCATCAGAATATTTCCTATTATCACGTAGAAATCTTAATAAATTTCTAATAACAATATTAACAAATTGAAATAGTCTTAACGTATTGCAATATTAAGTTTTATGGAGACATGAACGAATAAGTTGGGTAAAGAGAAGAGAAGAGATATTTTTTTTTGCTCTTTGCCCACCTGTTCAGAAAAACATGATATATCTACATACATACATAGATATATATGTGATAAAATAAAATTAATCACAATAAATTTCTTGAAATAGTATTTTATTTCAAATATGTACAAACTTTATGACCTATACAATTGTTTAATTAAAATAAACAAAACTAACACCTATAAACTCTAGAACTATATAATAATAATAATAAAACAAATATTTCAGTATTGGATATTAGCATTAATAAAAATTGATGTAGACCACATGAGAAACATTAGAAAGGAATATAAATTGAGAGAATAAGAAAATACTAAAATTATTTTAATTTTTTGTTTTATATCCGCTCATATTGCGGTGCGGTTATGAGTATTTGGAAGAATATTCTCTTACAACATTCAGCATCTTATCTAAATATAATATAATTAATGTTAGCTCCTACTTATTATAAGTACTAGAGTACTAGACTATTTTCTTATATTTATACTTATATGTAAATTTCAGATCGGTTTTTTACTCTTTTGTATTCTCTTCGATAGATAATCTTATTCTCTAAGCTTGTAAAAGGCTTGCTTACAAATTACAACAACTTATTTTTTGTTTGTAATATTAAATTATTGAAATTAGTTTTAGAAAGGTTTATTTGTGAAAAGATTCATGACATTAAAAAATTACCGAATTTCTATTTAATAGCTGTTTATAAATGGCTTTTATATAATTTTAAAAATAATATTGATTATAATGAATAATGGTAAATTTCTAAATAGAATTACAAAACTACATTGCCACTGTATAATTGAATTCAAATATTGTTAATGAGAGCATACAAGTTAAAAAATTTGTTTTTGTTATATATGTATCTGATAAACATTATCATAAATTGAAAACGAAAATTTATAGGCATGTTACAGAATACATACATAATGCAATAAAACAAACCATTCAAAAAATTAACACATAAAATTGGTAATAATTTTTCATAATACAAAAGATTCTCAATTTTTTTTTTAGCATGTATTTCTTTTTTATGATAAGAAAAATATAAGAATATTTTTATATGTACGTACGTATGTATATCTGTATTAAGCAAGAATAAAATTTGTAACATTGTAAACGTTGTCTACAAACCTTTTTATGTGATTAATCCAATTCCGTAATTTATTCCAGAGAATGGGTGAAACGCAAAATTTCTTTATTTATGATTTTTATAAATAGACACACATACAAAATTTAGTTATATGCTAATACATACATACATACATATATATTTTACAGTTTTTCTTTTAACACAAAAAAATATTTTAAATTTAAAAAAGTTCTAAATTTGACTATATACTTTTAATTTCATTATAGAATTCAGTAGACGACCATGTGATAAATAATATGTTGCTTGACCCACGATGACTTGATTTTTTTATTATTAATGACGAAACGGTATACATTAATACATATACATATAAATGTAGGTACATACATAAATAAAATTTCTTTTCTTAAATTTTTTGAAATATTTTAAATTATAAATTGATAATTTTGATAAATTTACAATCACTATTTTTTTATTTTATTGATAACATATTTTTAGTAAATTTGGATAGATACCGTCAAAATTTTACAATATCTTTATCACTTTTTGAAAAAAAAAACATATAATAATAAAAAACCAGACTTTGGAAAATATCACTATAGTAACGAAATCAAAAAAAAAAATATTTACTTTTGAGTCATACAAAACGCGACATCTAATTTATTTAAAATAAAATACAAAAAAAAATTAATTAAACTAAGTGTAATTTATTTCAACAAGCTACAACTGAGCTCAATCAACAACTGAGAATGAGAACTTAAAAACTTTTTAAACGAGTAAAAACAAAATTTTCATTCTATTCGATATTGTTGATAATGAAATTCAATTCTTCTCTTTTTTTTTGTGTGAAATAACCAACCATGAACCAACCATCTGTACTGTTTGTCGTATTTTATTTTTATTTATTGTAAATTAAGTGGCAAATGAATGAAGGTGTTATCTTACATTTTTTAAAAACTCAATTTTTCTATTCAATTTTAGTTCGAATTATGTACGTACATATGTGTTCCACGAAAGTTCCTTTAACGCAAACCATCATCTTAATTTGTAATAGTTGATGAAATTCCATATATAAGATTATTACTATAAATAATAAATAATTATTAATTGATCTTTCCTCTTTGCAGGTATAAATGTGAAATTTTTGTAGCTACAATTGCAGATATGAGAAAATTTCTAACTCAAATTTCTCAAAAATTGAAACTTTTTTAGATAACTGCTTTTCTCAGTTAAGTTCTCATTTTTATTATGTTCTCATAATCACATTTCTACACACAATTAGTGTTGGAACTGTAATAACTTTTGTATCAAAATGATACATTTTTTAGTCTTTAAAAACTATTCAAGTTTTGATATCTTTTAACAGCCTGATCGTGTATTTCGCTTTTTTACTCACTTTATATTTAGTTTCAAATCAGAATTTTCACCATTTTCTAATGGATATTTTACTTTTTCAATAAAATTGCTTATTTTTTCAATTGGATTCTCACTTTCAAAAACATAGAGAATAAATTTTGCATGCGTTTTAGAAAAAAACGTGATACGCAATACCAAATAATATTCTTCTTACTCGAAAATTACATTATACAAGTATATGATAGTTACTTTAACTTACTTTCTTTTCACATTCCGAGTAAAATAGTGAATAATGTTTCCAAATAACTTATGCGTTTCCATATTACTCATGCATTGAGCAATAAGTGTTAAAATAAATTAAAAATAAAATAATGCGTTTGATAATAAGGTACCACGTAGACCTCTGTTAAATGATTGCTACACGCTACTTAATGCTAATTATTGGATCTCATTTTCGTTCTATACGTAGCAAAAATTGTCACTTTATGATTTTGTGACAAATACAATTTATATATTCATGTTTATAGTCTCTTTGATACACTATTGACATTTTTGTCATCTCTGTTTTATAGTAAAACTATAGACTGTAGATAGATATATAGATATTATGCATTTTTCATTATATATAAAACTAAAAGAGCAAAAATACGTAATTTTATATTTTGTTTATATTTTATATTTTTGTTTCTTTTGCAAAGTAGAAAGAGAGTTTAAAGCAGAAGCAAAATTAGAAATAGAGATATAAAAATAAAAATTTATTTTAAAATTTCAGAATGAACGATTTGAACTGAGAATGCAATTAAAGGCCGCCAGATTCACTAGTTTAGTGAAAGTCAAAATTAAAAGCTGCCAAAATTTATTCACTAGTCTAGTGAAAGTGTTGCACAATGTTATAAAAGTTTTCTTTTTAACACTTCCTTGAAATTTAGAAGAAGTTTCATTAATAAAACTAAAAAAATATAAATTTTTTCTTAGTACAGTTCCACTTATTGAAATCCGATTAGAAACATCAAAAGTTTGTAATTGTCAGGAAACAAAACTCAAAAATTAAATTTTAAAGAACTGCGTCGATAAGCTTTTTAGATATGGTAAAAAATGAAAATTTAGTTCCTGGTAAGAGTTCGGATTCGCAGTCTTAATACGGCAAAAACATGTTTATTCTTCTCGTATAACAACATTCATCTATTTCATGAAATTGTTCGTCTTGTCTTTGACTTTAAATTTATGAGTGAAGATGCAACGCAAACATTTTGGCACTAATTAAACTTCTCACTTAAGTTCTCCGTTTTTAACTTTGAGTGTCGAAACCTGTTCTGTTATGTACATCTGGGAGTTGTATTATAGAAATACTGTATTCATTAGAGTAATAGCGTTACAATTTCAAAATTAAAAACTTATCGAAACTATTGTGAATATTTTGGAACAATTTTAATATGAATACATATATCTATTGTAAATGATTTTTATGTTATGGTTTGTGACTTTGATGTTATGCAAATATAAAAAAAAATTTTGATATATTTTACGATTTTAGTACAAAATTATTTAAATTTCAATTTGACATTTTATTTTACAAACAGATAGATGGCAGCAAATTTTGAATTTGAATTATTATAATAAAAATATTTAATACCGGAAATTTGTTAATAAAATGATAGTCAAAAAATTATGCATATCAATTTTCAATATTTAATCTCAATTGTTAATTAATTATTTTTATATAGTTACCTGTTTAAGCTGTTGTGCAATGTGCAGAAATCAAAAAAATTCAGAATCTTCAAAAATTTTGAGCGAATTGGATGAAATAAAAAATTAAGAACCTCGAACATTAATATTGCTAAATTCACCTTTCATTAACATGTCTATATATATCAAACATGGCCAAACTGCGGCTCGCGAGCCGCATGTGGCTCTTCAACCAATTTCATGCGGCTCTCGAAGAAAAAATTAACAAATATTTTTAGTGCACCTCAAGTCGAAAAAAAATATTCCCAAAAAAATTTTTTTTATAGAAATTTGACTAAAAGTAAAAACGCAGTAGAGTACGTATATATCTTTTCCCACACTTTTTAATTTTGTCAACGCTTACTTAACATATGGAAAAATAATTTGTATATATTGTCAAAGCTTAAATTCTTAATCACTCAACTTAGATTTGCAGGGTCAGCAGAAAACTATTTCTGATCTCACGCAAATAATCTTTAGTTTTCAAAAAAATGCTACTTTTTAAAAATTATATAATGACAATGAATTTCAATAATTTTCCGAGATTGAAAGAAAAAGTCGGAAATAGAAAATGAAAAGCTTAAAGAATATGTGGATAGATTGCAGGAGTTGATGGAGAATTTTAATTTACGATTTCAAGATTTAAAAAAATTTAAAATTTGTATAAATTTTCTTGTAAATCCATTTGAAATTGATATTATTGGTGAAGACTTCATATTTCCACAATATTTACTGAGTAAGTTAATTTCAATGTTCGGCATAACATATTGCTGCGAATAATTATATTCTACAATCAAATTTATTAAGTCCAAGCACCGGTCGCAGCTAACAAATGAACATTTGACTGAGCTTATACGTACGGCATTCACAAATTATAAGCCAGATTTTCAGAAATTTGTAATACACACCAAGCCACATGCATCGACCAGTAAAGTATAAAAATATCATATTTTTTTCTTTAATTCTAACTCTTTTTTATTTGTAGGACTAAGACATTTTCAACCAGATATTACATAATTTATAATTTATATCATTGCGGCTCGCAAAAAATTCAAAATTTTGAGTTCTGGCTCTTACCATGACCAAGTCTGGCCATCCCTGATATATATTATGTGGGTGCGTAATATGTCAGTTGCATATTTATATGAACACCTATAGGTACATATACATACATACATATGTATGTTTTTACAAAATTTATAGTAAATTAGAATACAAAAATTGTCTTGTACAAAAATATTTTACGATTTACGATTTTTAAGGAATTAAAATTACTAAGATTTTGATTAATTTTTAATTTTAATTTTTTAATTTGAGATATTGGTACTACTAAAGGTAAGAATTGCAAGAAGAGAAGAAATTAAAAAGATTTAATTTTTTTTTTTAATATTTTTAGGTAATTTTGGTAAAATGATTTTGGAATTTTGTCTTGCAAAATTATTTTACCAAAATTTTACATAGCATCTGTCTTATATCGAAAAATTGAAAGAATTCGAAGCATAAAAGAGTCTGTTCAGCGGATTGATCCTCTCCGGTAATTGCTACTTTATGAAAATAGGATATTATATTACAGAAAATTCAAATAAGTTAAAAATGGAAGAGAATTTTAATATTTTTCATCGCATTACGATTTACGGTAGAAATGAAACGATAACTATATAGCATGTCTTAAGTTTATATATACTTTCTGATGATTTAATTTATTATTAGTTGTAGTTTATATGTTACTTTAGTGTTGCAACTCCATTGATTTGCTTTTATTTTTAATTGGTTGGGTGCATTTTTACTCAAAAATTTCATAACTCATCCCAAAGCTCATTAATTCCTTTTTGTTCCTCTTCAAAATGATGGCTGTTCTTGTGTAATGTTGCTTTGTTTGTTGGTTAATGCTTGGTCTAAGCATTATTAAATAATCTCGAATATTTTTAATAGACATATTTTGCTTATTATGTAAAAAATTATGTAGCTACAAACATTCCTGTACAGTGAGTATTACTAATTTGCCATGTTCTATTTTATCATGTTAGTAAATCAAAATTGCTCATCTTCTGTTTCTACTTTTTATGTAACATATGTACATAATTAATTTTTGATTTTGTATATCAGCAAAAAAAAATAGAAATTCGTTCACAAATTATCGTTTAAAAGCGTATAACATAAAAATAATTTTAAGTCCTTTAATTCTAAAAACTTAATAAAACACTAAATGTACACTTTTTTAAAGTTAAAGTAAGTAATAAAAAGAATCTTACAAAATCGAAAATAGTGCATTATGTATATAGTTAGAGGAAAGTGCCAGATAACAAACAAACAAATAAAGTCAAAAGTACATTTAGAATATTGAGAAGTTAAAGATGAAGATTTTTAACTCTTTTCCTTTTTATGATTTTTATATTTGGAACGTCATTGATGAAAATCTTAGTATAAAAATAAGAACACATAAGAAAACATAAAACCTCCAATCTTCTTTTAGCTTATCTAAAACAACTTTAGTAAAACCCTATTTTTATCTTGTTTAAATCCTGCAATTTAACAAATTTTTCTCTACAATTTCTCTCTTTTTTTTTTTTGTGATTTTCCATTTGCTCTGAAATAAATATTTTTTTTTTTTTTTTGCATTTTTCTTTTATATTTTCTGTAGTTTTTAAATGCCTCAAG